TGTCACCAGTTGGGCTGTTTGATATTGCCAGCCAGCTCCCATAAGGACTGAGCACATACTGAGGATTCCGGTACAGATCATCCCTGAATGCATCAAGACCGGTAAAGTCACCATCGGAAAACCTGAAAGGAAATAAGCTGTGTTATAACACAAATATTGTTTTTTTTTTTTACCCGTTTTGGGCAAAAGACCCTTTCAACTTTAGGGATTTTCGCGACAAAGGAAAAGGCAAACAAATGAAAAAGATGCCAGCATTGTTAATCGGCAAGAATGTCTACTGATGCAGCACAAAAGTTGTTTATACTGAGATAACCACCTGTTTTAAACAGTAATTCACTTACTGGAAATCATAATAGGTAACGTCCAAGTAGTAATTGGAACTGTTTAGGGAAGCATTAGTCACAGGAGCTATGAAAACAGAAATAGAAAGACAAGATAAGTGAAATCGTCGATTACACTGACCTTTTAACAGGTCTTGGACAAACTCCCCCTCTCCCCCATCCATTTATTATACACACACGTAGAATACATTGTACCATTTTTTATTCTGTAACTCAACGATGAAGATAAATGGGTTTACTTGCTCTCAACGTAGGGTGGAGATCCTGGGGAGGTTGTAACATTCATTGCTGTTCAACGGTGTTCGGCCTTATAAACAAACATTTTATAGATGAAGAAAAATAGTAATATATCAATCACGACAGACCGTGTTCTACCACATTCTCAAACAACGCGAAGAAAGTTAAAAATACAACGCGCAGCGGGGTATTTCTTTAAGGTGCTCGGAAAACATATTATGTACAGGGTATCTGATAGTCCTATGTCTTCTCGATCGAAACTAACTAACTTTAAGGAGTCTAATATCTTGAATATTCTCCAACGTCTTACCCTTTCCCTCCAGGGTGGTGATACTTGCTTTCTCACTTTTAGGAGAGGTCTGAATTTCAATGAAACCATGTCCCCCTGGGTCATCAGTTAAGTTTGTTCCATTATAGGCTTCTACTGTCATGGTCACATGGCACACATAATCAATACCAGCCTGAACCCCATCAGCCTGCTCAAACAAGAAAAATTCGCTTGCGGTTGAGCCGGAGAGGGAGGCTGCATCTGCACTGTCACAGGTCGCATTGTACCCCACACTTATAACCTGCAATTAAGTTACAGCAATCGTCTCAGAACGGTGTTTCAAAGAATGTTACATATTGCTATTTGTCATTAAGGGCTGAGCTTATTGATTCATTCGTGAATCTGGTTAAAAAAAGTGAGCCACGGAGATGAGAATAAAAGGAATATTTAATATCACCGAGTAATGAATGAGAACCGGGCTGCCGTAGTCCTAGCCATACTTGAGGGCAACTTTTGGAATGTCCCCAAATTTTGGACAAAAATTGACGTAACAAGTCTGAAAAAACTAACGACCGGCCTAACGTTTTAGACAACTACGAACATTTAGTTAGTCTTAAATATCTCTAAAGGTAGTTTAGTCTTCAATATCTCTAAATAGTCCTTTACATAAGCCATTTTGACGTCCTAGGCTTCCTTGCCTGATAGATTTGACATCGTGAATTTGTTTCAAATTAGTGTGGTTGGAAAACAATAATAAACTGAAGCTAAACCGACACAGAAACTTTGAAAACTGTAAAATTAGAACAGGTTTGCCCTTCACAAACTCATTGGTCTGCACAGCTCGGGATGGTTGGTTTCACCTTGATTATTATAGTTTCAAAGCGACATTTGTTCTAAAAACAGTTTTCTTCCAAACGTAAACCAACTTTTGACGAGATAAACCTAGTTGTACTCAGTGTTGTGATGTAAGCCCTGATAAAATGGAATGAAATCAAATGGAATGGCATTCCCTTGTAAACCACAGTCACTGATGCATCACCACGGTTTTGCCAAATGTGTTCTACCACGACTACCACTGCTCCAAGGTCTTGCCCGTTGTCATTTTCGACAAAAGAAAAAAAGGTAGAACTTGTTCTTGTGGATGATTTCTGGAGACATTTGCCAAACATATCACAGGTACAGCTTTCGCCAATCCCACCACGGTAATACTTTTCAGCTTATAGCTTTAAATAGCACGGTTTGCAGTCATTTTCATAAAAAATTTTGTCATACTTTTCTGCGACCCTTTTGTTTTTTTTTTCTTTTCTAAAGTTTACTTTAGACTTCCCATACACCAAAAAATTAATTGTTCTTAAGCGCATTCCGATGTGTATCATGTTGCTTTCGATCACCAGGAACATAGCGCATTTGGTCTGACTTTTCATTTATTTATTTATCTATTTATTTATTTTATTTTATTTATTTATTTTATTTTATTCATTTATTTTATGTTATGTTATGTTATGTTATGTTATGTTATGTTATGTTATGTTATGTTATGTTATGTTATGTTATGTTATGTTATTTTTCTATTTGATTTGCAGATTTCTGGAACCTCCAAGATATTTCCTACTCTCGAGGGCTTTCCAGTCTTGGAAAATGCCAGTAAGAAAGGAGCAGAAGTCTTTACTGGAAAACCCCTTCAATTTAAACTTAACTAACTGAAGAAGATCTTTTCTGATATAAGGAATTTTTCAAAAAAAAGTAACAAGTGACATTACATCTGTAATATTCCATGTATCCACAAAGGTGGTGTTTCTGTCCAGTACATATGGCGGATATAGCACTGCGGGTCTGTCCCAGTCCACTTGCAGCTGAAAATCACCGGGGGCTGAGGCAGATATGTTTACAGGTGCTAATGAAGTGGTAAAAAAACAAACAGCATTGTTAGGATATTTTAGAAATTCCTACCAAGAACGTATTACTTGGTATTCAATGTGGGATCCGGCTACAAAAACTTTTCTTAAATACAACTGAGGCAATAGGCCCTTTGCAGGATCCGGTCACATGGTACGGAATTAATTACGCTGGGACGCAAGTTACGCAGT